TTCAGGAAAGGGTCGTGCAACCCATTAACAAATGCTGCTTCAAGGACTAATTCCGGCAGGTCACGTAAGGGAGCGGAGAGCACCTCGAATTGGTGACGATATCCCTTAACAGTAGAAGACTGATGTAACGAGAAGAGCTGCTCCTGTAAATTACCCTCCTGAGTCAATCGAAAACGTTCAAGGAGAAGCTCTTTGAATTCTGTCCAACCACGAAAAGGTCGCCGACCAACTTCCCGGTAATACCACGCCAATGCATCGCCCTCTAAACAGACAACTGCAGCTCGCAGACGCACTGCCGGAAGCAATCCATTAATCTCAAAATAGCGCTCCGCACGAAAAAGCCAGCCGTCTGGATTTTCCCCATCAAAATTAGGTAACTCCAACTTCCGAGGAAGTGAATTAGGAGTATGTTCCGACACCGGCATCAAGGAATACGTCAGAAATGCCGCACTCTTCCCTTTGTCAGCCGCACAACTCGATGTGACTAAAGAAGAACCAATGTCAGTCGTAGACAAAGGAGCTGAATAGGCCTATTACTGAAGCAACAGATCAAAACGTCACACCAGATCTTGAACGCTTCCTTCCAGAGACGAGATCTTCGAAAGTCCAACTGTTATCGCATCACGTAAGCCTTCCACTTCAGAATGCAGAGAAATCAAGCATTCTTCGAAACCCTCCACCTGCAATGCCACTTCCTTAGCTGTCACCATGGCCGAGGAAAGACGCACTCAGATACCACTGTTATGTCCCAGAAACTTGACACACAATTCTCAAACTCAACAGAATTCACACAACTAAAACATCAACAAAGGAACCGGTATTCATTCAGAAGAAAAGAAGAACATTAACAGTTGGTTGGTTCTTCGAGAGACCGCCGGCTCTCCCAATCACTCACAGTATTCTTCACTCAACAAAAGCCTATCTCCCCCATCCCCCAAAGCCCCTTCTTATACTCTTCTTACAGCATAACTRACTCCCTCAATAAATGCCCARCTGGCCAAGTTATAAATGCCCACACTCTTCTTATTCCTAACTGACATAGCTATAAATGCCTCAAGACTCTCCTTATTCCCTCCAGCCATAATTGCCCCCATGTTCAATTATTTCCCCCCTTAGCCGAAAGCTGACCTTTCCCCTTCCTGGCATACGTAAGGTTAATTGGGGGCCTATCACTTTTCAGCTTGGATGATCTCCCCCTACAAAGTAGCTAGGCACACCACCAAAGCCCTAACTTCTATTGGAGATGCCCCCACTTTGAACTCCCATTTCTTAGCAGTTCAAATGAGACTTGACCACTTCCTCTCGCCCCACACTTTGTGTCCTAGAGCTTTCCCCTGCAAATGTCACTTCATATTCATCTTCTTCATCCTTTGAGAAGCTCATAGATATCCTCTTTGTGGTAAGCAATACTTTTGCCTTCCCCTCTAATTCCCTAGTCTAATTTAATGGAATAAAATCAGCTCTCTAAAGCAAATCGGCCTAGGTAATTTTAGCTCAAAAGATCTGAATTATGGGCCAGGGATTGCCTATGAAGTCCACCAAACCGACCCAATAACTCTTTGTGTTAGGCATTCAACCACCTGACAACAATCATGTAAACAAACACCACATCCCCATCTTCCACATTCAAATTTCAAAATACCCCAAAAGATTCCTTTCCATTAACCCTTGAAGGATCCCTAGATTATTCTTCTTTTCTCCCTCTTCTATGTTGTGCAATGCACCATGGTTCCTCCTACGTTGGTTGTCTTTCGGCTTCCCCAAAAATGTTCTCCACCTGCTCCTTGATTAGATCCTCACGTCTCTTCTCAACAGTGGCAGATAGTTGCTTCATCTCCTCCACCAACTATCCTACCAAGCATCTATGGGTCAGGTCAATATCAATCAGCATAGCTACTTTGAAATTCTCAAGGGTCCCCATTCTTTCCTCTCTAATCTCTGAACATATCATGACAACAAACATGGCATTGTTGGTTATGATGCATTCCGTAGACCACACAGAGGGTGGTGATTTATCTACCTCTAGGAAACACATGCACAAATCCTTGCTCTTACAAGCCACCTCTTCACTCGATAGTTGCATCAAGAGTCTCAAGACTTGCACCCAAACAAAGCCCAAGATGTCCTCAACCTTGGGCCAAGGTTACAAGTGTAGGAGCACTCTCTTGTGACTCCTCATGCCAATATTGAGAATATGCTTTGCCTCCGTGAGGAAAGGGTTCAACTTTCTCACTCTAATGCCAAAATGAATATTCCCAAAACAAATATTAGATCAATAAACCACTTTATGTGTAATCCTTGAATGAAAGAAGCACAACTATATCTTTTTTTCTTTTTTTGATAGATAAGAAGCACAACTATATCATAGCCTTATATGTGTTGGGCTGCTAGCTTCCGACCAAAATACCTAGCTGCAACTGTCTTCCTCCATAGACTGCTAGTCTCTTGACTGGAATTCCACCACCATTTGCCCAGATGGAATGTTTCTGACCTGTCTGATGTGTCTTGCATCCAGCCCTCTTCCAATCAACAATGCAATACTTAAACTGGTCTTTCCAAATTTTCCAAAGGAAGTATAGTTTGGAGCCTTTCAAGTTTTTAAGCCACTTCAGCTAGAACAAGGAAAGAAAAAGAAAAAAGAAGAAAAAAAAAAAAAGAATAGAAAATGGATGGGAAGATGAGATCAGATAAGGAGCTTTTCAAACGAATGAGCTGACCTCCTTTTGATTGGTAATTAACTTTTCACTAGGGTAATCTCGTTTGAAACCCTTTTACAATTTCCGTTCAGGTAATAAATAAATAGAGGGGTTCTGTGACTGAGTAACATTGGTCTCTCTTTCCTTCTCCCTCTTTTTCTGTGCTCCCTCTTCTTTCTTCCTTTCTCAATTCTCACCACTAGTACTTTCAGAATTCATAATTCCAGTCAGACAGAGTATCAGGGATCTACAGCTCATCTTTTATAGTTTTATTGCGGCAACCGTCCTAGTTATGCAATGCAGTTGTGGAATTCAAGCAATTCATTGTAAGAAGATTGAAAAAATTTTATTTTTATGGTCATAATGTGTTAATAGATGCAACGCGCTAACAATTTGCAAACTAGACTCCAAACAAAGGCCGTTTTTTACAGAGAAAGAAACGGTTAGATGAGGCAAGTGGGCTGCTGGAGCCATTATCAATAAGTTCTTTCGTAGTTATCAAAGAACAAAGGGAAGCTAGGTCATGAATTTTAATACAAAATGGGAAATTAATAGTTAGCTTGCCTAGTTCTTTTTAATCAATTAGTCTGTTTCCCAGTTGAAGCAGATCATAGAAATCCGGGAGAGGAGAGAGTAATCAACTAATCGGTAATCAAATAAGTTCAGGTAAATAGCCAAAAGAATGAAGGGGGCAGAGCCCCTGTTATAATGTTATGCAACAGAAACATAAAAAAGAGAGAAACGGGAGGGAGGACGTGTGTCTGTGAAATTGCAGAGGAAAGCAAACAAAAATAAAAGGGACAAAGCCTCTGTTTTGTACGCAGTTCACAAAGGGAGAAACAGGGAGAAGAATGACGTGGGTGTGTGTTCGTGCGTGAGAGAGAGAGGTAACATAAGGACAGATTCCCGGTTTATCTGAGAAGAAGAAGAAGAAGAGGAAGAAAATGCAAGCACCTGGATCTGGATGGGTATAAGTGTCTTGCTCGGACTGATACCCTTCCTTCTCACTCCTCAGCCTTCTCCCTCTCCTTGTTCTCGTTCTTCTCCTTTACCTAGTATTATTGCTGGAACTGGAATGCTCTCTACTCCTTTCCGAAGTCTCACCAGTAACCCTCAGTAGTTGGTTGTCGGTTCGGTTCGGCCATCAAACCATCAAGGATATCAACCCTACACGTGTCATTATATATATATATATATATTAAGACAGTCCACCTCACCATGTCTTTTTTTACTAAATCCTCTTTTTTAATTTTCTATTTTTCTGAATTTTTTACTTTTTAATTCTATATAATTATCAATCAAACATATGCTTAACTATTTCTTACAATCATAATAAAAAATGGATATGTTTTTCTAATATTTAGCTAAGTAGCACTACTTTCCTCTACTTTCTCCTAAATTGTCTCTAATTCTTATTTATCTCCTAAATTACCTCTCATTCCCATTTATCTCTTAAATTATCACTAATTTAATAGAGAAATTAACTCCTAAACTATCTCTAATTCCTATTTATCCTCTCCCCAACCTTTTATCTACATGTATCTAAGGACATTTTCAATTAAAAAATTTTAGAATTATTTAAATATTATAACAAAATTATATACTAACTTTAAAATATTAATTCAAAACACAAAAATTAATTATAATAGATTTAATAATATTCATATTATTAATAATTTTATATTTTTACAAAATTATTATCAATTTATGTAGTAACAATATAAATTACAATTTTAAGAATTATTCAAATTAAATGTTATTCAAACAATAAAAATTTAACATTAAAAAAATAAAATTTATTTAAATTTTTCAACAACTAAATATATTAAATAACAAAACATTGAAAATAGCTAAATAATTGTACAACAAAATATTTAATACTGCATATTAATTTTTAAAATAAATAAATTTCAAATAGTGAAAATTTTTAAATATTTTAGATATTACTTAAATATTTAACATGACTAAATTTTAAATAATTAAAATAACGAAATTATGTAAAAAATTTCTTAAAATTAGAAAATTAATTATAATAGATTTCATAACAATCATATTAATAATAATTTAATATTTTACAAAATTAATAGCGAATGATGTAATAAAAGTACTAATTATAATTTTATGGATTATTAAATTTAATAAATAATTAATATTTTAAATTTAAATAAAAATATTATTTAAATAACTAAATAATATTGCAAACAACTAATTTCAATTATATCAATTAATAATTACAGAAAATAACTTTAAAAATTTAATATTTATTAGTAATAATTTTACAATAATAGTGTACATTCATTATATATTTATATATACTAAATTAATATTTATTTTATTTTTAGTAGTTGTTTATTGTATTTGTTGATAAATTTGTTTCCAATAATTATTTATAAATCTATTTTTGTTCTGTTATTTAATAGAAAATTTTCAATAAATATTGGAGATTAAACAATTATTATTTAACTTTTGAAATTTAATTTATCATATTCCATTTTTGTTATAAATTTATTTTTAGTAAATATGTATTTTTTATAATTTATTGATTAATATTTATTAGAGATTAAGCTATTTTTTGATATTACACGATTTATTGACTAATTTAATATATTTTTAGTATTTATTGTATTTTTGTAATTATTATATTTTTATTAGATATCTAATGTATTTTCATTATAAATTTATTTTCAACAATTGTGTATTTTTCTACAAAATTTCAATAATTATTGGAGATTAAACTATTGTTGTTTATTAGAGATTAGACTATTAATTTAGCTGAAATTAGGCGTGTTCAAGGATTGGTTCAATTTTGTTGCAGGCTATTTCGCTAACCAAATTGACTTGGTCAAGTTGGGAGTGTGTCACCCGAAATCGATTGACCATTAGTGAAAACCCACCAACTCAGGTTGTATCGGTTTGGGTCCATTTTCGGTTTGATTTGTTTGTTCAAAAGGGTTAACTTTATTTTAATTTAATAAATTACAGTGGAATTATTAAAAAATAAATTTATGATAAAAATATTTTAGGCTAAGAAATATGGGAATTTTCTCATTTCCCGTATTAAAAAAAAAATTGTATTTATAATATATATATAATTGGGTCGGTTCAGTTTTGGTTTGTTTACAAATGACCAAACCAAAACTGACCTAACTTGGTCGGGTTAGAAAGTTGCTAAACCAAAGCCGATCGAAAATGCTAGAAAACCAACCAATTCATGTCAAGTTCAATCAGATCGAGTATTAAAAAATTAAAATATAAAACAATTATATACTCTTATGTATTTCTAACTTTTGCTTAACAAAACTCATGCATTGCTAAAGTCCTCACTAGTAAAATAATAAATAATAACATTCGCACGTCGCTCTCAATCTCACCACAATAATACTATACAAAAATCTAATATACATATTAACTGTCGCTCTCAATCTCAAAAAAAAGGGTAAATCTCTTATACCTCTACTTTTCATGAAATTAACAAATTGTACCTTTACTGTTTAGATATTGTCTTACAGTACCCTTAAGTTTTCTGACAACTGTCTAAAACCTCCAATGCCATTAATTTTCTGTCACACTCCATTCACATGTGACATCACATGAGTGGTAATTATTTTAAAATTCCTAAAATATCCTTACTTGTTTACCGTTGCTGTTGGAAGTTGCAGCGGTGGTGGTGATTTTAGTATCATTGTCGCAAGTGACGGTGGCCACTGCAACTTCCGAACAGCAAAAGTTTGGTGATTACACAACATTGATCAATACCCACCATTCACCACAACAGATCTGAACGTTGGTCTGGATTTCCAACGCTTCGAGAAAACTGGAATCTTCAGACTTCCATGCCTTTTTTTTCTCCTTTGATTTTTGTTTATACGGATGGATTCAAGGACCCTTGTCCTCCCCCTCATCGTTACAACTTGCTTCGACCATCCTTCACCTTCGATCATCTCTCTCTCCCCACCTATCCTTCTATCTTCTTCTTCTTCCCCTTGTTGGTCTCTGTAATTAGCTTGGAAATAGAGCACCACCACCAACATTGAACTGTGCTTGCACCCTCCTTCCTCAGTGTGACGGCGATGGCAGTGACAACCCCCTCCAAACTCCCATCTCTCTTTCTCTCTCTATTCTTCCTCTGGGCGGCGGCATCAGAAGCCCCTTTGAACAAGAGATGAAACAGAGGGGGAAAATGGAGTTAATTACCAGTTGTCTACAAAGGAGAATCCAGAGTCGCCAAGCTTGTAGGCGGAGAGTCAACGAAGGGTCACCTTGCTATGACGGACAAACCTGCGAACATCTGATTGATGAGATCGAGTGGTTACATGGTGGCACCATTGCTCGACGTCAATGTCAGTCCAACAGTAGGGTTCGGCAACGACTTCTCACCAGGATTTGCAAACAAGAGGAATCACTCAAACCAATTGGTCTTTCAGGATTCGAACAAATATCAAGGCCAACAACTCCGGGATCAACCCTTCCCACCACCATGATACATCAGCTTTTTGATTACCACCGACGTTATTAGAAACGACGACGGTACCTATGAATGAATCGGAGTAAAATCTCTTGGTTTGCCGCTCTCCATCCATCCTGTCTCTCCATTTCCCTTGTATTAGCAGAAGTATTTCAGTCTTTTGGACTCTCTATTAGAATTAGTAGGTACCGTAGAATTAGAAGACATGGCATGAGTTGTGGGTAATTACAATTTATCAATCGGCAAGTTGTCAGCGGTGAAGTTGAAATAGTAAGGTGGGTCGTTGGGAAAATCAGTTGTGTAAACCCCACGAATCATCCTGTAGTATGCTTCAAGAATGTCGATCGATGGAGTCACGAAGCTAATGTTGTTCATGCTGGCAAAGAGTCAGCTTCTAATGGGACCACCGCAGGAGTCACTAGCGCAGGGCAAAGTGTTGACAGAGATGGTTGTATAAACGCGAGTGTCGACGGTTAACGGAACGTCGATGGAATGTTCTTTGCTTGCCAATCTCCTGAAGCGGGTGGTGAAGCTGGTTGTTGCCTCTGTGTCGTTGTAAGGAGGGAGGGACGACATGGAAAGAGACGACGGAGGGGTGTAATTGTCTCTATACTATAAAATGGCCGTAGCTGTGGTGTTATCGTAGACCACACCGAGACCACTCGAGTAAGCTCTGGAGGCCATGTAATAGTGGTTGGGTGCTTGGTTAGCTTTCAACAAAACATCCATGGTCTGTTCTAAAATCATCACCACCAGCTTTTGAAACAGGGGCGAGAGGGAATGGAGGAGAGAGAGAGAGAGAGAGAGAACGAAGGGGAGAAAGAGAGGGAGGGAGCTCTTCGCCAGTGGCTATCGCCCTTGTTTCATCATCGCCGATGATCCCACTAAATCAATGCTAGAAAGCAACGTGAGGTTGATCTTTAAAGATCCCAAACGATCCGACATATGGGGATTATTCATTGCAGCTCGATCCACAAGGATCCCCACAATTATTTAAGAGGTGGAGGGGAAGTCTAAGAATGGAGAAAGAAAGAGAGAGAGACCAGAGGCGTAGGGGGAGGGGGAGGTTTGAGAATGGAGAGAGAGTAGAGGCAGATGGTGAAATAGGGTATGAAAATTGAGGAATAGTGGAGGATAAATTCGACATTTCATTTTCTTCTGTTAGCATTTAATGGCAATGTCAATTGTCAGAAAATTTAAGGGTACCACAAGACAATATTTGAGTTTCAAACAGATGTGAAATGATCATATTTCTATCAAATATCAAATATGGCAATTTACATTATATAGTTTGGAATATGGATATGCATTCAATAATTATGAATATAATAGAAAGATATTGATATATTTGAATGCATTAAAAAATTATAAATTTTATAAATACATCAATAACATAATAACCTAATAACATAAGATTTAAGATTCAAATAATTATGAATAAAATATAATTTTACCTTTCAAAAACAACTTTACTAAACTACATATTTCTGTGATTGAAACCCCAAAATATACATCAGTTGAACATAAACGGTTTTATACCCAAAAATTGAACACGAATGATTAATAAATAAAAAAAATCAAACATTGGGAATTTGGTCTCCATCTCACTAATGATAGGCCTTTTTCCTTAGGCTCAGTTTTGAAAGAGTACAAAGACAAATATGTACAGTGCAAATGCATGCAAAATAATACAAAATATAAGGTTTTGCACTCTACATATTTGCATTTGTACTCCTTCCAAACTGAGCTATAAAAAAATGGAAAAAAATTTATTGGAAATTTGGAATCAAGATTAATTTAAAGTATTGGTACGCATGATACACAAAAAATTATATGCATCACACGTTTACAAGGGTTGATACTTATCCATGCAATATGTTCCATGTGTTAAACTTTAAACCTAAACACCATTGGGAAGGGTATTAAGCATCAAATATACCTCCCAGATCCTAGTAATTAGCGTATCGGTGACCCTCGAAATCAATACATTACATGTGATGCACTAACATGTGTATTGATAAACTTTGACTGGACTCAAGTAAAAGAAGGAGAAGGAGAAGAAGAATGCATTTTTATTTCATCCTCCAATATATTTAAAAGATTTGTATATTTGGTGTTTGAAATGCAAAGACACATTGATTTGTTGTCAGACTTATGATGGTTTTAATTACACTAGCAGACCCATGGTCCCCCCTAAAGATGACAAGTTTCCCCATCCCTGACAAGGACCCAACTTCCTTGACCCCATCGGGTTGGGGATGGCGATTGCTTTGGTGGGGAGGGGACGGGGATGAGGATTAATAGGGATCTCTGATCGGGCTCGAGGTCAAGGATTTATATTAAATATGTTTTATTATATATATGATATTATTTATATTTTATATTTTTATATTATTTGTATATATCAAAGCATATTTAAAACATTGTTTATATATTTTTTTTATTTATTTTAAGTATATTTATTTTTCAAAAAATATTATTAACTAAAAACATTTCAGAGATTCAGGTCCCTGCGGGAAAACCATCTCCATCGGGGATCGAGGATGGAGGACAACTTTTACCCCAGTAGGGATTAGAGATTGGGGACAAGGATGAAGATTAGTTTCAAAATCGAGGTCAGGGTTGCCATTCCTATCCACCCCCCGCCCCCGNNNAAAATAAAAAAGTCATAAAAATTATCTATTCTGAATTATTTTCATGGTAGGAAAGAACTATAAGATAGATCCATAAATAATTTCTCAAATCTCTTGTTCCATCAACAAATTATGTCAATCTATGATTTTTTAAAATTTTGGTAAATTATTGAAATAAAAATAATAAAAGAGAACATTATTTTAGTAATTAAAATTTATAAGTTATATATGCTATGATGTGAATCTTAGAAATTCTAATGGATCTGATATAATTTTAATTTTTAAATTAAGATTATATATTTTTGTAAACCAATAATTATTTAACTTATAGTATATAACAACATAAATATTATATGTGGAACTAAAAAAATTAAAAACAAAACTAATTTAATTTACTAATTTTTAAGATTTTTTTGTAGCAATTGGCTACCATATTAAGAATTTAAGATTATTTTTTTCTATGAAAAATTTAAGATTAAATTTACTTATTTTTCTTAGTACTATACAATAATACAAATGTAAAAATGATAAAACATAGAAATAGATTGAGTAATTAAAATATAACAGTTGCATATGATTGTCTCTTGGCCTATTGGATTTACGAATCTGCCACATTCTTATGGATCTAATGTATAATATTTTAAATTAAATCATATATTTCTAAATAATTTAAATAAATACTAACATATTAATGGTTCTATGAATGTAGAGGATGTTTAGGAATATTGTGTTTCACAAGCATTCTATTTCACCTAGATTCATGTGTGTCGTACACCACCCCCTGATTATGCCAAGTAGACCTGTTCATGGGCTAGGTAGCCCGATGGGCCAGCCTAGCCCGACTCGTTCTAAATCGGGCTTGGACATTATTTTAGGCCCAGAGGCTTGGGATTGGGCCTAAAACATCGGGCCCAACCTTTTTTAAGATCAGGCTTGGGCTTTCTCAAAAAAAGCCCGACCCAAGCCTGAGCCTGACTTAATAATATATATTATATAATAAAAACATACTTTATTTAATAAAAATTATATATACAATATTTTATTGTGTTTCTCTTCTCCTTTTTCAACTAATAGTGAGATCTTTTGTTATTTTTGAGTTTTGAGGGATTTTAATATAAATAAAACATCTTTTTATTAAATAAAAAAATCTCTTTTTGAATTTTTGATCGGGCAGAGTCTTAGGCCCAAGCTTCGGGCTTTATATGAGGGCCAAGCTCAAGCTCAAGACCTAGGCCCAATGGTCAGGCTAGGTTTGGGCTCGGGCCTAAATGTATTCTATTGATACATAGGCAAAGCCCAATCCCAACCTAGCCTAGCCCATGAATAGGTCTAATGCCAAGGATTAAAATTTCGTCATGTATTAGGGCATATTAGTCGATATGTATCGTATTGGTGACCCTCTGTCCAATGCACCCCTATACTAAGGCCTTGTTTGGCGCATCTTTCCGCATGGTTTGTTGGCTATTTACAAGCTCAATAGAGTGCGATTCGGTCTTTTCCTATTTAGTTTGCAATAGATCTATCCACCAAAAGCCGATGCCTTAAAAAGACGCGAGAATCCCAAAATGGACAATTTTGGGAAACTCGAAATGGAGCTTTTGCATTTTTTTTCTATTCATCTTTGCGTAGAAAAGATGCATGGAAAGACATGCCTTAACCAAATAGGCTTTCAGGCTACTTAGATCTTAATGCAAAAGCTCAATGCGTTGTTTTTTACTATCACCAGAAGATCTTCCCAAAAAGACTTGCCAAACAACCCCTAAGTGCTTTGGGGTCTAAGCTATTTTAGGGGATAGGCAGACCTTAAACCAACCCCCTGAACTAGTTTGAAAAAAAAACTAAAAAAATAAATAAATAAATAAAAAGCGACTAAAGATACAGGTTGATATGCCCCCATTTAGCCTATATCAATATTTTGAACCTTGAATTATGCTTTCTTTTCTTTTTTGGAAAAACACAAAATCCCATTTGGAATTTGATTTGAGATGCATGCTAACTGAGCATATAAAGTGCTTTGACTTTATTTTTAATATATTTTCTTTATAACAAGGATATAACATATAGAAAAGCTGTTAACTTTTTCAAAATTTAATGTTCCACATAATAATGATGACTCAAGAAACATTATTTTAGGTGGTGTTTGGGACCAATACCAATTTCTTATAAATTGGTGCCACATCATTGACTATTTTGCTATTTGGTTGGCAGATTTTTTAGAAATCAGCAAATCACTTAGAAATCTATTATTAAAATCAAGTTGAAAAAGAGAAATCACCATTTTGATGATCTCTTCAGGCCGTTTTTTTAGGATGTGGCGTATGACATGAATAGAGGAACTAGTTCCCATAAAAGAAAAACCACTGGTAATAATCACTATCAAGCAAATTCATAACCAATTTCTAAGAAATCGACTCACATGGCAGCATATGGCACTTTCTCTAATTTTTAAGAAATCAATGATCTTAGGAATTAGTGATTTATGAGAAATCTCATCAGAGAAATCATCATCAATCCCAAACACCCCCTTGTGATTCAAGAAATCCCTTCTCATGAAACCCAAGGCACAATCACAATATTTTTCCGAAAAACAGCTCGCCAAATGCAATTTCCATTTTTTCTGGTGTAGCAAAATTGTTGAAATGGAACGCTTGTCAAACACATTGGTGCCAAACACATATAATAATTTGTGGTAAGCTATATAATGTCTAGATATCTCGTTAATGCATTATCAGTTAAGTTATTATATTATATGTTAGATGTTCAGATATGTCGATTGCAATGTATTTATTAGTATAAACTATTAAAGTGCATTTCTTATGTGTCCATATACCATTAATACACCCATAAGATTCATGCGAGTTTTCTAATGTTTTAACGCACATCCAGATCTTTCCATCATTTCCTTGTCTACCCAAAGTGTATCCATTTCCAACCCAACCCCGCTGATGCACTGCAGTAACGATATTTTGAACCTTGTCCTAAGCATACCTCAATGCATATCTTTAAATTGTTTGCCTAATATACTTTGTGAAACCAACACTTGAATCCATCTAATCAACACTTGTAAATCTGTTCTTTGCATTGCAACTATGTAATAAATAACAGTAACAACAAAAGCAACACAATACTGATGATACAATTCTAGTGGTATTGCACAACTAGCAACTACCTCAAACATTGTGAACATCTTGGACGCAGACTATGTTGGCAGCCATTAGTGAACAAAATGGAGGGAATGTTCAGGCCCAGAAAAAAAAGGCCATCCCACTCAAATGATCTGATCAAAGGTACAACTCAAGCATGGAGTGCTGTAAGCTTATGTGATAAACCATCCACCACCTCATCATTCTCAGCAATTGGTTCATCCTGCAGGAAAGCTAAGTCGTTATAGCCACAAAATGAAAAACATAGTTTATATATTCCATGACTGCAATAATTTAAGGCCGTTAAATAACAAATAACATTTTAATTAAAAAAATAGCATTTGTTTTTGGTTGACAAAGGAAACAAATAGCATAAATTCCGTAAGTTCTAATAGACCATAATCTTGGCAGTTCACCAGACACCAACTCAGATGATTTGGTCATATAATCAATTCATGACTGAGCACAAGATTAACGGCATATTAAATTCACGTCAGATCACCATATGGAGAAATGACAATCTGCCATTAACAAGGTTTAATCCTACCAACAAGAACAAAAGTTTCTGTTTGGTCAAGCCTAACCGGGTTAAAGCATCCCCTTCAACCACCAGGAAGCCAATCCCAAGGGACCTTGCAAACTTCAAACTTCTAGCCATGCCAATGTACAGTAATTAGCTTGATTTGGAAACACCAAATAATGGCAGTCCATGTCAATTCATATAAACGATGAATAAGGGGTAAGATGGAAGGAGAAAGGTGGCAGAAAATTTTACCTCATTATCTCTTCTTTCTTGTACACCTACACACTTGGAGGCACTGATGCTAGCACTCTTTAACAGACTACGACCAATGTAATTTGATTTTTTGGTGCCATTCTGCATGATGGGTGCAGCCCCGTTTGCATTTTCAGGTCCCTCACTTTGTTGTGACCGTGGAGGGCTCTGAAGGGTTGTAGCAACAGATGCTGCTGTTCGCTTTTCAAAATCATTATTTTGGTCAGCAGAATTATCCTTTGGAACACACACCCGCTCTCTGTAAAGGGAAAAAAGTTCGACAGTAGTATCATATGATGCAAAATATTAAATGAATGAGTTACAGCACAAGCATAAGAATTCATCACATGTTCAATTCAAGAAACTACCTAGGCAAGGAGGCATGTTGCCTTTGAAGTGGTGTGCTCCTTTCACCTTTACCATAATGCTCCTCAAGATGTGCAAATTGTCGCTTAAACCGGTCAACTCCACTGCAGTTACATAAAAGGTTAAATTGCTTTAGTAGGTGATTATTGAACTTCCAAAATGCCCAACTTAAGCATCCATTTGTCACTCAGATGCTAATGTGTTTCATATCATGTGACTCCAGATTATACACACTAACAAGAATGCCAACTTGCACTTAACAGAAAGTGGCATATCCGATTCCCATGACATTAAAGATGATCATAGATTACTGAATATCTTAACTAGAAAAATTTTGGTTCCAATGAAAGGAAAACAACCCAGAATATATAAGATGTTAGCTAGTGTATGTCTCATCAAATTAAGATTTAGGAGTAACATCTCATGTTGTCAAAGCTGGGTACAGATGAAACCTGGAGCAGGTTAGCCCAAAACACAAAAATATGAATCCGACTTAACATCAGGTTAAATTAGGGTTGAAACCTAACAAAACCAAACCAACCCAAACTTATTTGCATATATAAAAATTATATATGTACGTACGTGCATCAACAGTTTAATAAGATTTTTTAGTGTACCTCTATTACTCCTAAAGAACCATCACTTTGTCCCCATATATATAAGGGTAAATTGCTGAAACCTCCCCTGAAGTTTGGTAATTGCCATCACCTCTCCTGAACTTTCTAACATAGTTGCAAGTAGACCCCCTTTGTTAGAATCCTCTAAAAAGAGGCATGAAAATGTCCAAAAATACCCATATAGTTATTTTTGACCAAAATGGTTGTTATCCAAACTTCAGGGAAGGTTTCAGCAACGGTCAGAAACTTCAGGGGAGGTTTCAGCAATTTACCCTATATATAATAATGTTAAATGTGGTTAACCCTCGTTGACTAATCCTAAATCTAAGGCGTTGGGAAAATTTTTAAAAGCAAAAAGAAGTGAAGAAATTGGGTGAACCCTAACCCAATTTGATGCCATCAGGTTGGGTCAGGGTTGATCTCAGCCCAAGTTAACCTAGCCCATCTTGCACCTCTATAGCTGGGATACCCAAAATTAAAATCCAGAAAATGGAGTATTATGGGCAAGAGGCCTAGATATGGATTCAATCTGTCAAACTTGTAGTGAAGAGACAATTGATTACAACTTTTTTTGATCAATGGGCAATTGACTACATCTTTATGAAATGCAACTTGCTTTCCGAATGCAACACTCCATAGATATACACTACCCAAAATCTTCGGGACAAGATCCATAAATAATTAGATGGTGAAGCAGAATTACTAGGAACCATAAGGATGGTGATTGGGAGAATATAGCTTTCCTACTTATAGATAATTTGGATCAACAGGAATGAATTTATATTAAGGGAAAGAGACTAGACCTCCAGAAATAGTAGAGATGGCATGCAACATGTTCATAAACTACCTCAGTGCAAATGATGTTGATTATTGAGTTGAAGGAAGAATAAGTGTATTCCAATGGTTTGATAAAAGAACCTAATGCATGGAAATCAAGATCAACTTTGACACTTAGGTTGGAACTAATGGGGACAAGTTGATTGGAATGGTAGCAAGAGATCACCTTTGGGGAATTTATGGTGCAAGAGAAAAATTATAAGCCAGTGACTGTTGATATTGCTAAAACAATAATCAAGATAGCTGTTGATCAAGGATATAATAACATTTCGCTAGAACTACGAGACTCCAAGAAAACAAATTGAGTATTTATTGGAGCAGATTGAACTGCCTTGGAGAGCTGTCCCCATCATTATTGACACATGACAATTGGCTAGAGAAAAAAGGTACAATTGTTAGTCTTCCACATCCAGAGAGAGGGCAATCAAGTTGCTGACTTGATTGCAAATAGAAAACACATAGCCAAAAGAAGGTATTGTTGTTAAAGAAAATGCATGCCCTGGGCTCTCAGTATCTGATCTGGGGTGACCTTTGGGATTGAGCTAGCCCCTGTTTAGTGTAGCATATTCTTTCTCACAAATGAAAAAAGAACAAAAACTACATTGCCCATATTCACTGATGCAATTAGTAAATTTGGATCAGAAAGTGTATGTAATGATCAAATAAGAAATGCCAACATTTGTTTTTGATGGATAACTGAAAATTTCATAAAGAGGAATAAAAATATACAGAAAGTTGTACAATCTAGGCTAGACATACTACCTATCCCCCAAAGGAAAAGAAAAAGAGAAAAAAGTTACAGAACAGCCTAAAAAAATTGATTCCTGTTTACCCCTTGTTTAGCCTGTAGTGAGAATGGGCCAAATAGGCCCTTGTGTTCTTTATTTCTTTTTTGTAGTGTTCAAAAGTTATGTTTCTTAGTTATGGGCCTCAAGGGCCTTCTTTTATTTTCTTTAATTATTTCTTTAGTGTTGGCCGCCCCATTAAGGGCATCCAAGTAATTGTACTCAGACTTAGAATTATTAATAAAAGTGATGAAAGGGAGATAGAGAGAGAGAGGTTCGAATTCTTCTTCCTCTCTTCCCTTCTTTTCTTCTTCCACAACCTATTACTGAAACTTCTTTCTTCTTCTTTCTCTTTCTCTCTTTTATTCTTTTCTTGCATTATCTGAATAGATGTAATTTTCAACTTGGTATCAGAGTGGGTTCTCACTTTCGACTTTTTTCTCCTTTTGCCCAAACATAGTGTGTATGGAGAACTGATCGGTTGATCAATCAGCTACTTATGCAGCCCAGGTAGGAAGGTTTTTGGAGAGTTTTGTGGAGGTTTTTCATCCTTAGTTGAAATCCAAGGCAACTTCTTGGAGATTTTACCCAAAAACCCTAGATAATTGGAGAAACCTTGTTACAGGTCATAGAGATAGTTTGAACCAGGCGCTTGGGGATCAAAGGTAAGCCTTTTGATTTCTATTAGGGGCGTTTTTGGTTGGATTAAATTCTAGAAGCTCTGGAGGGGACAGTTGAAGTTTCTCTCTTTCTCCCCATCCCACAAGACCCTGTAAAACTCTAATTTTGGGGATTGAGAGATTGTTCTTTGCTTAGAACAGTAAATCTAGCCTAGTAAAGCCCTAATTTGATTTTCGTTTGCATTTGTTTACGCCAATGTTTTAAAATGCGGAGGCGTGACGTGAGACGTTCCACTACCTAGAGGAGTGAAGCGTAGTTCAAAACGCAAGAGGCGTAAGCCTCCAGAACACAAGGAGGCATAAGCCTCCTTAAGAGGAGGGGGGTTAGGAGGAGGATGAAGAGGAAGGGGGGATCTCAAATTTTCTTTATTTTTAATAAAAATCTTTTATATTAAGAAGAATAAAGATGCATAACATTAGTTCAAAGGGGGGGTCTTGTTGAAGCGGTCGGCGGAGCAAGACCCCCCTAACTCAAAAAAAAAACAAATTCGGCTACATCAAATAGGGAGCGAGGGGGTCTGGGGGGCGAAGCCCCCCAACCGAAGGGGCAAGGGACAAACCACTTTCTTTCCCCTTATCTTTTCTTCCCTTCCCTTTCATTTTCTCTTTTTTTTTTCTTCTCTTCCTTTTTCTTTCCCTTCCCTTTCTTTTCCTTTCCTTTCATTTTTTTTTCTTTTTCTTTTTTTTTTTTTTGTCTTTTTATATCAGATGTGCATGAGGCGCATGAGGCATACGCCTCTAGCACGCCTAATGAAAAAAGCGCAAGAGGCAAACGCCTCAGAGGTGTCAGTGCCTCTGGCATACGCCTTAGGGCGTTTTGGGAGCGCCTCGCCTGGAGAACGCCTCCCACGCCCTTTAAAACACTAGTTTACTCAATGGAGCAAACTAGAGGAGAGACCAGATATTCCACACATTCCGGTTTGGACATGGGGGGTCAGTTGAGAATCTTTTTGGGGCTATGACTAATGTGAAGCAAGATGGGACCAATTATTTAGCTTGGTCTCAATCTATTAAGATACATGTGTGTAGTAGAGGAACATGGGGTTAGATTACCGGGAGCAAGGAGAAACCAGAGGAGGAGGATCCTACCTATGAAAGGTGGGTGTAGGAAAACTACATAGTAGTGGATTGGTTAGTGAATTCTATGTAACCACACATTAGTCAGCATCACTTGTGGACGAAAATTGCAAAAGAAGTGTGGGTAGTGTCACAGAGACCAATTCCCAAAAGCTTAATGTTGCTCGGGCCTACAAATTGAAACATGATGTGAATAATCTTAGATAGGGGGAGAAGCCCTTAGCAGTCTACTTCTCCATGCTGAAATCTCTTTGGCAAGAGATTCATCTGATGGAGACTGTTGTTTGGGGTTGCACAGAGGATGCAAAAACATATAGGAGGTTGGTGGAGAGAAATCAGGTCTTTGAGTTCTTCACTGAACTCAACTCAGAGATATTGTGAAGTAGAATGTTTTAGCAAAGGATGAGGTGACTTTGTCTCAGGCATATGCTATGGTGAACAATGAAGAGAGTAGAAGACAGGTTCAGTCTATTGAGCTGCAGGTTGATCACTATGCTAATGCGAAGATGAAGTTGAAGATTAGCACTGGGAAGAAATATGTTATCTATGAATACTGCAAGAAGCCTAAACACACTAAAGACACATGTTGGAAGCTGCATCCAAAGCTCATTCCTACTAGATTCAAGAAAGAAAATGGTGGGAAAGTGGTTGAAATTAGAAAAGGTGGAAATGCAAATGTAGCCACCTCTTCACAAGTGAACAAGGACAGGGTGGAGAGAAGTCAGTGGGAGAACAGCTTGCAGCCACTAGGGCTGAATATGAGAAGTATGGCCGAATCATCAGCCACTTGGAGTCCACTGCTATAGCTCCTTCAGAGGTTGTTCCTTGGGATATGCTCACTCAGGTATTCGTGCCACTGCACACCATGCTTCTATCTCAGGTACTCATAAAACCCCTTGGATAATTGATTTTGGTGCTTTTGACCATATGACCAATGTTTCATAGTTATTCACCTCCTACCAACTTCTTTCGGGCCGGGATAAGACATCCCTTGCTGATGGCTCCCTAGCCCCTATCATGGGAAAGGGAGACATTAAGACCTCTAATGCCCTAACCTTATCATCTATTCTTCATGTACCTAAACTTAATACCAATTTGCTTTCAGTTA